CGGGTATTTAATGTTCGGCTCCGCCCGAACTTAGACTTGCTTACTTGTTGTATATTAAGTTACTATTATTTCCATAATATTTCAAAAACCTGAGAAAGACTGAGGTTTATAAAAAAACAAAAAAAAATTAAAATTCTAGAAGGTAAAAAACGCTTGCATTTCTCTTGCTATCTGTACATTTTACATCTTGCCAAACTTAAAACATGTCATTTTTCAATATACATACCTAAGAATTCAAATTTTTATGTGTACTGCCTTTACCTACCTAACGCAAGATTTGCGACTTAACGAGACAAGAAAGCCGTAAATCACAAAACAGCAATTTTTAAAACTGAAAGAAATTTAACGAAACCTTTCAAACCTAACGAAACAACCCTGTTATGCATAAGCCGTAAAGTTTAAGCATTCAAGTTTTTAAGCAAAATGAAAGTTTTCATAACTTAACGAAACAATAGAAGGCATTCAAAATTATCAAAAGTCATTCTTTTGTAAAATATTACATTCGTAAATCCCAAGGCGCCAATTAATAAATCTAAATAAACTTAACGAAACTTTTGAAACTTAACGAAAAACGAATGTCAACAAAAATTTTATCAAATCGCAATTTCGTGAACTACTAAATGCACAAACCGTAAAGTTTAGACATTGTAATTTGTAAGTGTATGGCAGTAAGCACAAGAAACTTACCGAGACTTTTTAAACCTCACGAAACAACAAAATGCAATCCTAAGTGTAAGAAATCGTTATTTCCTAATTTTTTACATGTATAAATTCCAAAGCACCGGTTTATAAAACCGAGCGAAACCTTTTAAACTTAGCGAAACAACAAAAAACAACCATATTTTTAACAAATCACTATTTCGTAAATTTTACATGTATAAATTCGAAAACAACAATTTATAAAACTGAACGAAACTTAAAGAAACTTTTGTAATTGAACGAAACGCAAAAAAACTAACCTTAAACGAGGTTTTGTTCATTGTATTACACAAGATGTATAAATGTGGTATACATTTTACTAGATCATTTAAAATACCTAACAGGCTTTCGCATTTGTCCTTTTACAATTAGATACTCAGAGCCGTTTTCTCAAGTAACCTCTAACTTTAAAGCTCACTTTATATTTAAAGTAAAATTTATGATTGTGTCTAAAGTAAAGCATTTCATTATCCGTTTTAAATTGGTTTACAACCAAGAAACATACATACGTCCTAAACCGATAATGGAAATGCTTAACTTTAGACATAGCTTTACTTTTAATCCAACCTTTAATTATAAAGTGAGCTTTAAACTTAAAGTTTACTTCAGAAAATGCCTCTTAGTATGTCCACTTGTCATGTCGAGAATATGTAATTACTTCTAAGCGAAAATTCAACAAATTACCGGCTCATAGTAGACTTATCCGTATTAAAGCAACGTGCTTACTCATATGATCACATAAAGCAATTTATATGCTTACACACAGACGAGAATGAGTACGTGTATAAGGATGTGTGCTTAGCAAAAGTGTTCGTAATGTGCTGATAAGATAGACAAAATTGTTGAAGAGTTTTAGTAGAGAAAAAAGCAGGCAAATTGCTAGCCATGCTGTTGACACAGGAAAATGTCTGCATGGACATGGCTTCTTGGGACACGCAAACACATGCACACCTGCACACCTGCACACATACACACATGCAAGTTTGTATAAAATATATGCTGTTAAAGCAAACGACGCCACCTCAAGAAGGCGTCTAGCTTTCTTCAGAAAACAGCAGCCATTACCTAAACCAAATAAAAAAGCAAACGAAAACCAAACGAACAAACAGTTAGCCATTTTGTTGCCGCATTTCGTTGTTTGCACACAAAGTGTTGACAACTACTCAGGACAAAAAAAATGGGCAAAAAAAGTTTAGCAAAAAGAAAAAATTCAGCATCTTAGCTTGTTATCGCAACAAGCAAGCGCAAACGTGCACCGGTGACTAAGTGTAGAAGACGACCGGCGACTGGCGGCCTGCGACCAGTTTGTCGAACAGGCCCGGATGCCTCTTAAAGGCTGCGAAGACTGGACAGTGCACTGCAGTGAGGAATTAGAGCGCACGCGCGGGCGTTGGTGGTTTATGTCTATGTGTGTGTGTGTGTGTCATTGTAAAGATTGCACAAATTGCACGAACTAAGTACACAGAAATTACAAGCATTGCAAGTGCTATTTCAACTTGAACTTAGAAGAGAAAAGGGGGAAAAAAAATTTGGAAAAAAGAAGTTCAAGTTCTGCGATTTCATTTTTCTTCCCCCTTTTTTTGTGTTCTATTTTTGTGCTATGTATTTGCCAAATCTTTTCCACAACTTGCTTTGGCTGCCAACATGCCAAAACAACAACGTCAAAAACAGCAGCAACAGTAATGGCATCTGCAGCCTGTGTTAACAACTAACGAGAAGAAGTAGTTGGAAAAGCTCAACCACTCGCTTGACTTTTTAAGCAGCGCCTACAAGCGCGCAAACGCGTTGCAACCACGCGTCTTAGCGCCACAGCTCCCCTGCTTTATCTACGCTCGCTCTAATCCGCCTTCTCATTGTCGAAGTGGTTTTTGTGCTTGCTTTTTCCTTTACACTTTCCACTTTCATTTATTTTTTATTTTTTAAATAGAATTTGCCGAATTTCCGTTCATCCGTTCTTCTGCTCGTTGGGGGGTGTTGAGACTCAGCGCTTGCTATTGCTTCACATATTCTTTTTTCCAATTTCTCATGCAATTTCTTTTCATCTTTCTTATTTTTTTCTTTTCTTCCTCCATTTTAGTTGCCATAACATGGACAAATGCACCAGAGAATCAATACCCCATACTCGGCGAGGACTACATTGTCAAGTGTGAAGTGAAGGCCGATCCCAATCCGACCATCGACTGGCTTCGCAACGGTGATCCGGTAAGTAGCGCATAAGGATGTTATTAAAACTTCATGATTTACTTAGAAAATTTCAACGACGACAACAACAACTACATATTTCTACTATGACATGTAAGAACAACCAGGACTTACGGCTGCAACAATATACATACTACATACAAACGCATGCAAGTGCAGCGTAGGCAAGCTATAGTGATTGGGAGTAAAGTGCTGGCTTGAAAGCTTGCATTCTGCCAGCGAAATCCCACTTCGAGGGCAAAAGGAAACAAAATTTGAAATACATAACTACAAAAAATCTTAAGCACACTAGTTGTTTTCGGCACTCACGGCAATACACACGCATATTTATATACGAGTACATACCCTCACCTTACCCCATAGGAAAATTTAAACACCGAACCGGCGTTGTTCTTATCAATGCGCCTTTCAAAGTAGGCAGCTAGTAATGGCCATAAAAGTATTATTGGTCCCCTCTTGTATCCCTTTTGCGACAGCTTTTTTTGGTGGTCTCTTTCCACCAATTGTGCACAAGTTCGAAATTCGAACTATTACAAAAACACGTGCAAAACACAACCCTCAGACTAGCTACCTGCAACAGAGTGCCAGGTCACTTGCCCAACTTAGTGAATACCCATATATGTAGTTTTGGCTGGAACTGCTCGGAGAAATTTCTTTCAAGAAAATCTTTAATAGCAAAGATTGTTTGATGTGAGTCCAAAAGTAGACATGGTACTGAAGGTACTTGGACTTGAGCCCAAGAATTACCCAATGGCAACCAGAGTAAAATAAGTTCAGCATGCTTACCAACATACTTTAGCCGAGAGTTTCATTACTGAACAAGTTTGGAAGCAGCTAGACGGTTGTACAACGTCTCTGTGGAGGTCATTTCGGACACGTTAGCTCAGAGCACTCTACATATCTTATATAACAAGTGTTTCATACTGCTCACCTTGGAATATGGAATCCAGAGAGTGAAGACTATTCCCGTTAGTATCCCTCATGCGGATCCTGTGTAAAGCCATAACTAACGATTCGTCAATTGGTTATCTCGTTGCGCATATTAGGTTTTAGCAACTCTTATTTCTTGCCTCAAAGAACCCAACAAAGATAATGGTGGCGTACTTCAAGTATCCGATAGACTCGTCTTGCAATTTTTCGCTCCTTCTACATTGTATGGTGTGAGCACATATTTCCTTTAAGCCTACAAATGGGATTAGAATCCTCTAAGCGAATCTAAAACTATGATAAAGCCTTTTTAAGCTCTTTACGAAGATAAGTTCTTCGGCGACACCATGATCAGTCGAGGACTTATAAAATATGGGCAATACCATAGTTTATACTTTGGACCAACGCGAAGAACCTGAATTTGTTAAGACTAATCAGTTGCTCGAAGTCTTTTGGGCAGAATATTTTAGATCTGTAAAATAACCCTTTTCTTTCTTCCCTTCATTTGTTGCTTTAGTCCGAGACGTCTCTCACCTGCGTAAAGTTACGCCAGTTGTTCATCCTGAGTACAGATAGATCTTTCTCCACTTGGTCCTTCTATTGTGAACGTAAGCGCCCGTGCCTTTATTTCCCACCCATGGGTTGGGTTCCGAGTCGAAGAAGCTTTTCACCAAAGCATATGCATCGAACGTGTCTAAACCGGCGCAATCGTAGGCTTTTACTGTTGTAATATATTATATGTATTGTGATCTTAATAGGCCCTCTATGAAGCTATATGTATATGTGTAGACGTACACTTCAATGATAATGATTGACGATGAAAACCAGGTACAAATATGTTTGCCCCGGTATCCCTATCCTCGAGTTTACTTACGAATCTTCGGACTCTTCACTGAGCATTTAAAACTCTAGAAAGATCCCTAAAATATCCACCCTTCACAGATCAAGGGCGATATTTGTGACAGATGTCGAAAAGTTTTCCAAATTTCTTGAAGTCGTACGCTTCCTGCATCATAAATTTCGTTCACTTGTTTAGCTTTTCCCTGCAGGGTATGTACTAGTTCTCACCATGTATGCTTTAGTAGTGACTTAAGCTCACAATATATATCCCTAAAAGTTAGAAAAACTTAACGAAACTTAAATTTTCTTGTTCTTAATAATAATGTTGAGACTTTGCAACTTTTTTATCTAGCACTTGTCGAACAACAGTGCGCTCTCACACACATGCATACGTATGCACAAAGGATATCCTCGCATATGGACATATGTATGTACGAATGTATGCATACATCCAATCGTCGTTTGCATAAATTGAAATTTAGCTTGTCACGCAGCACTTTTATCGAACTTTTACAAAACTTAACGAAATTGTTAAGTGATTTTCGTGCAACATTCTTTGAGTTTACAATGTGCACATGTATGCGTATGTGGGTAAGTAGTTTCAGTCCCTGAGGTTATTTGGGAAAAAAAATGTGAATATAGCAATGAAATTTACTTTCATAATCAGTATTTACTATACAGTTATGGATACTTGGGGGTTGTTAAGCTCGTAAGTGAAGTTTATGCGAAGTTAAAGTGTGCTTAGATGTAAGAGATATTTTATTAAGTATTTTTAATGGTATTTAAAGTTTGAGCTTTGGAGGTTGTTTTGACATTTGAATCATTGTGCACAAAACTATCAAAGTTTAACCCTTTCAATACCATTAACATAAGAATAAAGGAAATAACATTTTAAGTGTGAAATGTGGTTTAAGCGTTGTGGATTAAGCTATATGTTTTCTATACCGAAATTTTGTTTATAACCCTTTTATCGCAATATAGGGATTTTAGAGCAAATATTAAAACCTAATACGGTAATTGTGATAGCATAATTCTTAAAAATAAATCGGTGATGGGCATCGCCTTACCCGCGGGTAAAGCTCTTTTAAGCTTTTTATATATTTTGTATAGGCGCGCGCAGAGTAAAAGCTCTCTCTGCCCATCGCTGGTATAAATAGTCGAGCCAAATTATTGCAGATAGCTTTAAATATATCCGTCCGCGTCTTTTAAAAATAGGTACGATCAGAGAGAGCTTTAACTCTGTGCGCTTGCTCTAAATAGCTGCTGCGTAGGGATATGTTTTTGTCATAGCACGAGAAAAAACCTCGCTGCTGTTCTCTATACTTGAAATAACCAAACCGAGAAGTATGCTTGAAACCTTACCATTGGAGAAAAGAATTGAGAAGCACTGTGTACTCATGAAAAAGCTCCGCAGTTCACCAGTTTCCCTCTATGCAAGCTTACCAGATGGAAGCAGAAATAGAGCCCTTAGCCTTGAAAAAGCATCTCAGCATTGTCTTATTAGGGCCTTGAGGTTCTGATAAGAGTCTCCTATCAAACATAGCCTTGTTAGGTTCGGGGCAATGCACTGGTTAGTTAAAAAATCGCCGAAAACTTCCACCGAGTCCTCGGTCGGTCGGCCGGTGTTATTTAAAGGTAACCCACCCGTCAGCCATGCAAATGCGCGAAATTAACTCGTGATCTATCATTCAAACGAACGAACGCAGTTGCAAATCAAAGGCACATCGGCTTGAAATTTCCCTGAAATGTTGCAAATCATTTATACCATTAAATCTTGCCAGGCGGTCCTAATATGCAGAAATAGTTTTGCGCTCGCATGCTGAAAAACTGTGCATGCTTTTTCTCATTAAGGCGCTGCCTTCTCCTTCCAACTCAAAACTATACGACACCTTCTAAGCAATCCGTGAAAAATATCAGTAATACAGGAGGTACCAACCATAGTAGTGTCTTATATAGAGCCTGATATACGGAGTCCCGCGAAATTCAGTTTTAGTCGTATTTTCGAAGGAGATTTTTCGACCATTAGCCATTATCCAATGGATGAGCTAAAGTGAAAGCTTCCCACATAAGATTCTCTTCGAAGCGAAATCTTAGATCTGTAGTTTCATCTTCCCGCCGCTTTTTCTTTACATCTTTTACACAAATGATTATATTAAATACTTGTACCAGCACTTATGGCATAAATACTTATATATTAATCAGATGGTATTTTGCTTTAACGGAGGCTTTATCTAAGAATTATTATATTTTCAATAAATTTTTCTTCGTGTTGAATCTTCGGCTATCAACAACTTTTTGCACGCGTATCTGTAACTAATTTCCTTCTCCATTGCAGATCCGCACCGGTGACAAATACGTCGTCCAGACGCATGGTCTGCTCATACGTAACGTACAGGAATCAGACGATGGCATCTACACTTGCCGTGCAGCTGTTATCGAAACCGGCGAACTGCTCGAACGCACCATTCGCGTGGAAGTATACATCCGGCCGGTTATTACGCATTTGCCAGCCACACTAGAAGCAGTCGAAGGTAAACCGTTTGCCGCAAACTGCACAGCAACTGGCAAACCGGTGCCGGAAATTTCCTGGATTAAAGATGCCGCGCAACAGAATGTCGCTACCGCCGATCGCTTCCAAGTGAACCCACAAACTGGCCTACTTACTATCAACTCAGTTACGCAAGATGACTATGGCACCTACACTTGCATTGCCAAGAATGACGCAGGCGTAGTGGATCAAAAAACTAAATTGAACGTACTCGTGCGCCCACAAATCTACGAATTCTACAACGTGACTGGCGTGAGTCAGAAGGAGATTGCCATTACATGCCGTTCGAAGGGACGTCCAGCACCGGCTATCACCTTCAGACGTTGGGGCACCGAAGAAGAATACGCGCCAGGCTTACAAGCTGATGACGATCGCATCTCGTTGGAGCAACATTTCGATGAGGAACGTGGCGAGAGCTCAGGCACACTGCGCATTACAAGGGCCACACGCAATGACGATGGACTTTATCAGTGTATTGCGCGCAATAAGGGTGATACCGCCTACAAGACTGGACACATAACTGTCGAATTCCCACCAGACTTCACACATATGAAGGATTTGCCACCAGTGTTTAGCTGGGAAGAGCGCAAGGCGAATCTAAGCTGCCTGGCTTTGGGTATACCAAATGCGACCATCGAATGGCGTTGGAATGGCCGCCCACTCAAGGACGCTTACGATAAGAATCTAGTAATTGTCGGCACTGGACCACGCAGTGATCTTATTGTTCATCCGGTAGCGCGTCAATACTACTCCGTCTACAAATGTATCGCCACAAATGTGCACGGCTCGGCCGAACATGATATGCAATTGAAAGAGGCACGTGTACCTGATCTTGTCGCCGCCGCGATACCACGCCAACTCACCGCCACAACAATCACCTTTGACATACGAGGACCTCCAACGGAGCTGGGATTACCAATTACCGCCTACAGCGTGCAATACAAGGAAGCCATCAATCCAGATTGGTCAACAGCACAAAATCGTACCTGGTCGCCAGACTCACCATACATTGTTGAGGGACTAAAACCACAGACGTCCTACCAATTCCGGTTTGCGGCACGCAATCAAGTCGGCTTGGGTATGTGGGGCGTAAATCAACAACAATCGACACCCAGACGTTCGGCGCCGGAGGAACCCAAACCACTGCATTCGCCTGTGCAAAACGATAAAGAAGAACCTGTGGTTGTGTCGCCATACTCCGATCACTTCGAGCTGAGATGGAGCGTGCCAGCCGATAATGGCGAACCGATCGACTTCTATCAAATCAAATACTGTCCTGTAAGTAACCAGCTATTTGCGCACTCTTACTGTTTCTAACCGCTATATGTGTGTCTTTTTTTACTCTCCTGTTGCAGGGCGTAAAAATGGCTGGCACTTGGCATGAGCTGGAAAACCAATGCGTCTCGCAGGATGTCGTCGAGACTACATCGTACGAAATGTCACGTCTAAGTGGCAACACCTACTACCGCATCGAGTTGCGTGCGCACAATGTGATCGGCTTCTCATCGCCGGCATCGATTATTATGAAGACGACACGAGGTGAGTCCGATTCTGCTAATAATAATCTCGGGACATTATTGTATTCGGCCGGTTATAATTCGGCCGCTGATTCGCCACATAAACACTACATTAAATTCATGACCACAACGAGAACCGCTGGAACGAGAACCGCAACAACTGCCATCACAACAGCAACAACGACAACTGTCATTGCTCTCGCAACAGCAACATGCATAACATTATTTAGCGTTGTAGCAACGATGTTAGCTTAATGGCGTGAAACAAATGCAAAAATATTAAGTAAAATCAAAAGAGAACACTTTAGAGTTTCGACGAAAACGAAATCGAATTTAAAATTTAAAATTTGCGGTATTAAATTTGTTTTGTACTAAACGAAGCAGAATTAGTGTATAATATAGTTAAAGCGAAGGAATTTTCGGACGAACACTTAAAAATTAATTAATATTTTTTTCCCAATAACAGAACAGATTAGAAATTATCAAAGAAGCTTTTGATTCGAATATTAACATTTTAAAGGGAATTTAAAGAAAAAATTTAATTTATGCACTAGAGTTCGGTAGTATTTTTTTTCATTACAAAAAAATTGCTAAAAAGTGTTGTTTTTTCTTGAATATTTAACTAAATTTGAACTGGTTGGAAATACTTAAAAAAATTAAAATATTTGGCGTTTTCAAGCGGTTTTGAAGACAAAACAATTTCTTCATTAAGTTTCGATAACGATAATTGAAAATTTTTATACAATTAAAAAAAAAAACTTATAAAAATATAACGTTTTTCTTTGTTTTTAGATACACATATTTCTAAATTATTAAGAAAATTTAAAAAAATTTAGAATGTTATTAAATTCAAAAATTTTGTATACCTTTTTTTATTTTGAATGCTTAACGAAATTTTTACAATAAAAACCCTTTCCTATACTGTCATTCGAGCAAAAGCTTCATCTATGCTTAGAATTTTTTCAGTGTATTTTGTATTGGCAATTTTTTTGTATATAACAATGCATGATTTAGTTTCGAAATGTTCAATTAGCCGTTTCTAACCTTAGTTAAGGTATTTGTGTTATAAACCTATGTACATACTTGTATACCTACATAAATTCATACTTATTTATGTACCTCTAGAACCACTTCAACTAAAACACTTCCGAAGTAGTGGTCAATATTTATATACATGTATGTAGGGATGATACCTGAACTTTAAATACCGCGCACATCAAAAAACAATTTTAGTATTCGTGAAGGACTCCAAAATTAATCACATTTATCGCTATCCAGCCTTCAGGCAGTTAGAGCGCTCAAAGTTTATGCTCAGGTCGAGAGAACTTAAACTCAGTAAATAGCATGAAGAGACGACCGTTATTATAAATGAGTACATGTCCATGCTGAGGTTGAGCCAGTTTATAACTGCTTTGAGAGAAAAACTCTGAAGTACTTACCTATTAGTTTGATCTGCCAAGTAAAATTACTGACCGCGCAATGCAAAACCGTCTAATCGAATTATAGTCAGGACATAGTTCACATTGTTAGATGAGTTTAGATTATACATACCAGGTGTTTTAAACTAGATCCAGAACGGCGACGCACTTAGGTCTGATAATATTTAGCGTTACCGATTTGTCCCGTCATCATGGTTCTACATCCACCTAGAAAAAGAAGCAATTAGCTTGTCTTATAGCCGCAGTAGGTCGCAGATCTTCACGCTAAAAAAAGAATGCAAAGTGAGTCTAAACTCGGGGACCATACCATATCCAGTGAGGGAAGTGCTTAGGTGAGGACATATCGCTGCTGAGACCACAGCTTTTGATGGTGCATTAGGTATTTTAAATTGCCTTTCCAGTAAACAAGAAAGGCCTGTCCGACAAGGGTATTACATACATTCTAACGAAACCCATGAAACCTTTATCCTAACGTCAGATACCCTTACAGTAAAAGAAATGTCGATTCTGTTTATAAGTAGCAGAAAAATTTTTGTTCTGGTGGGGGCTATCCGGCACCGACTTTAAGGTGATTGTAAGACTTGGAGCTATTGAACCAGAAATACTTAGTACCCTCAAAGAGTCAGAATAGAGGGATGCAAGAAAATCTGCGCTCGAATCGTCACATATGACATCGTATTGCTCGGCACGTAAAAACACGACGTATCACGAAATTTTCTTTGTTATGGATTTCGATCCTCGCACGAATGTAACAATTCGAGCCCTGTACACATTAGTCAATCAAAAGAACTATATTATAAAGGTGACATGTATGGCATTTACTATATGAAACAAGTCTTGATTAACCTGTCNTTCGAGCCCTGTACACATTAGTCAATCAAAAGAACTATATTATAAAGGTGGCATGTATGGCATTTACTATATGAAACAAGTCTTGATTTTAACCTGTGCTTTGAAATCTAGTATAATCCACATCCAAAGAGAATTTAAGAAAAACCAAGTTGCCGTTAAGAAGTGTTTCTCTCTCAAAGTCGCCGGGTCCAAGCTGAAAACATCAGTTCTGTGTCCTTTGTAGTTAACGCAAAATTGTAAGAGCTCAAGAGATTGTAAGAATTTATCAGCGCCTTCTAAAAGACCATCCCCAGTTGTCATTTACATGATAGCAAGAAGATACTTTGTAATGTTCTTTACGAATGAACAGAAATTTTGTTTACATAAGCAACGAAGGATCAAAATGTTTCGACGAACTTAAGTTGCTTTAAGAACACAGGTCAGTTGAGCCACAATAAAAGCAATAAAAATGTGAATCCATGCTTCAGCTAACGCATATTAATTCCTGGTTCTCCCGGATATAGTAAAAAGCCTCGACAGTAATATATTTCTCTACACAAATTCAGTTTCAACACCTCTATTGTTCTTTCTTTAACTGCTGCAGAATTTTATTATTATACCACTGAATTTCAAAACTAAATCATGCAATAAAGATACACCGAGAAAAAAAGGTTCTGCTAAAAAGGAAATTAAACGCGTTTTGTAACAAAAATTTGCTTTCCTTCAACAAAGTTCTCGCCAAAGCAAACAATCAAACACGAAACATTCAAAACATTTCGTACTCTATAACATTTTTTAACAAAATTACACATCTTCAAAAGCTAAAAACAAAATTTCTATACTTCTACATAAAAATTACTACTTAATTGCTATAAGTACATACATACTTGTATCATCACTGCGTTTTTATTTATGTTCAAATTCGTATTTGTTTATACAAGCGCATAAAAACAACAAAAAATCAAAAACTATACATTACTTTCACCATAACCTTCAAACAGATTTATAAACATTTCGTGTTGTATTGTGTTGGTTTCTTTTTTATTTATTTCTTTTTTTTTTTTTGTTTTTGTTGACAAAGCCCGCTTCATTGTCAAAATAATACTAGATTTTTTTTATATCTTTTCTTGCTTGCTGTCTGCTCATGTCAATGTTACACTTTTCGATGTGTGTATGTCTCAAAACTAGTTGTGTACGTTTTTTCGCTCATTATCTACTACTATCGTTTTTAACAATTTTGATTCAAAAAATATTTTTTTGCAAGAATATTATTTTTTCAAATAGTTTTGCATAAAACAATTTTAAAACATTTTTTTTAAATACTTTTTGCTTACGAAACTTTTAAAAACTTTCAAAACCCATTTTTACAAATTTTTTTCAAACCTGTCTTCAAAAAAAGCTTTAAAAAATTTCTTTAGCAAAAGCTTTTTTTTTAACTTTGCTAAATTTTTTTACACTGCTAAAGCCGTTTTTCAAATTCAGTTTTTCAGAATAAACAATTTTCAATTTTTCCCTCATTATTTCTTTATAACAATTTTTTTATTTTTATCTATCACTCGCTTGGCATTGTTCTCTCCAATACTTTGGCGTGTCAATATTAAACAATCTCAAATTGAATTCCATTGAAATTTTAAATAAAAACTTATTAAAAAAAAGTTATTTGCTCTGAAAGATAAATATTTTAATTTTAAGTTAGCTTTTAATGCAGTATAATAAAAACACATAAATACATACATAATATTTAATAATTTTACTTAATATGCAATAATTAATTTAAACGTTGCAATAAAATTTTAAGCTGCAAAGCATAGTGATTCAGTTGCGCTCAAAGTAGTGATGTTGAATTTTGTAGTGAAGATTAAAATGCGAATTAGTGAAATAGCAAAACACCGTGGCACTAAAACTGTTAGACTTTTGCAAGTGAGACACCGCATTACACTGAAAAAATATAATAAGTAAAATTCATTCTTTATATATAGAAGCAACAATCAATTTTTTCACAGTGCAACTTTAAAAACTTAAAAATAAAATTAAAATTACATTTTCAACTAAAATCTCCAAAAATTTCAATTATTATTATTATTATTTCAATTATTCTCACACAACTGCAGTTGCGCAATAAAGCATAATTTTTGTTGTATTTCTATATTTTTGTGTGTGCATATTTTTCTGTAAAAAAAAAAATTTAAAAAACTTCAAATAGTTGTATGAATGCAAAGCAAAAAACGCATTTAGCTTAAGTTATAACAAGAAATAATACATATATAATTTTATATAAACAAATAATGCAAAATTGTTTAAAATTATTTCCAATCATTTGATATTTATTAGAATTTAGTAGCGCTCTATGTGTCCTTTCTCTATCTCTCTTTCACTCGCTCTCACTATCCAAATTTTTTTCGCGCACTCTTTTAATCATTTTATATACATATTTTAAATACATATATATAAATATTTTTTAGTTAAATTAATAAGTAAACAATTTTTATTTTCATTTTTTTTAAATAAAGCAAATGATAATAATTTAAAAAAAAAATTGAAAATCAAAAAGAAAACAATAGCATTTTTATTTATAATTCAACTAAAAATAAATAAATAAAAAAAAACAAGAAAGCATTCACTCACCGTAATCTTTGTTTCAACATTTGTGCTCGTACTTTATTTGTCTCTTTTACGCTCGCTCGTTGGCTTATTCAAAGACGCGCTCGTTCATGTGTACTCCTTCTTATACATGTATAATATAAGTATTTTT